GATATGCTGGGCCGGGAAGGATCCATCGGACCTGTCCTTCAATTCAGGCCAAAGGAAGGACTTATTTGTCGGCCGCATCGGAGGAGTCTTCGGTTTTGGACGTCCTTCGTCACGGCACTGTGACGTATGCGGCCGACGAATTCGACCTTCGGAGGACCCGTCCTGCCGTTTTGGACACAGCCATAGCATGCTGAGCAGTTTGTTGCAGTGGCAGGTGCCCATTCCGCTGATTATATTGACTGATGTTAAAAAAACATCCCGTTTTCGCCATCGCTGAATGTAGTAAACACCTCTTCAATGACGTGCACGGTTAGATTAAACACGCGACGTTAGTATGGAGACATGGAGACGCATGATCATCAACATACCGGCTAGTTAGTTAGCTGCTGATATGTGTAGACTGGACTCTTGTAGTGTAGTGTACAAGTGTAGTGTAGTATAGTGTAGACTGGACTCTCCTGCCCACTGCCCCACATGTGTTCACATGTGCGATGGGTTAAATGCAGAGACTCAATTTCCCCTCTGCGGGACGGTAAGGCTTAATAAAATCTAAAAAAAAATATAAAAAATCTCTGTGCTAATAGCATGCTAAGCAGTTGCCAGATGGGAAATGTGCCTGCAGTCAGAAAAGCTGGTAAAGAAATAGAATGGAATAATTGTTTTTTGAAATTAAACTACAACCCTCAACCTTGACCTTTAGAGTAGATTACTACTCCTTACTACTACCAGACTACCCCTGCTTAATGGAATAATATACTTTTCTTTGTAAGATTTAAACACATTTGAGTTGCTGTTAAAGATCCACTTCTACGTGTTGCCATTTAAGTCGCACTTGATGATTTGATCATCTGTATTTTTATTCGATTTTATTATATTAAGTTGCTTTGTTTTTATTACTTTTGATGTGTTGAGATTTTTTTTTATCAATATTCGTTTATTATGATTTTAGTAGTGCCATTTTGCTGTAGAGTTCTTTGGTGCAGCCTTTGTTCTTTGTAAATAAATTGACATTGATCAGGGCCATCAGAAGGAGAAGGAAGTGGTTTTTGAGGGGGTATACAAATACTTCGGAGCGCATGTGAACAACAGACTGTACTAGAGAACTAACTGGTTTTGGTGTACAAGAGGGAACTGAGCAGACTGATCTTTTAAAATGTGCAGTAATACACTGTAGATTTTGTTTTTTTAGCATTCTGTGGTTGCAGGTGCTATAGTCTGCTACGGGAGCAGAATGAATAATAGCATCTGGATGGATCCATGTCTCCCTACCTCACTGATCAACATGACCATTTAGACTGAGTCCACTTTGAAAAACATCAGATATAGAGCTCATTTAGCACCACATATGGAAAAATCTGATTGATCATGTTAGAATTGTAAAAATATTCAATATGGGTCATATACGGCCAAAAAAAGAAAAAAAAACAACATATTTTGGTCACTTTTGTACGCAGTGAGAATTCAGATTTAGTTACTCATTTATGCCAGCATCACTCAGATATAAGCATTATGAATAAAAATGAAAAAGCAAACCCATTTGTCAGCAGTGCCCTTGGTGATTCAGAGCAGAGTTAAGAAAGTTTTCAAAGAATAAGCAGTGATACTTGTGTTAAAAATGACCATCACATCTGAACCAAACTTAACTAAACAGGGCTGCTAATCTGATTACAAAAAAAAAAACACACCAATCGTAATTTAACCACATCGACACTGTACGGAATTTAAAAAGAAAAGTATTTTGTTGGTTTATATTAAAGATTTTTTTTAAATTTTGAAACAAAAAAAATTAATTCTGAAGATTCCATATTTTGGAATCAAAAATAATATTTTTTTGTTCTGTTTCTTGTATTGAAAACATACTGAGCCATGGCTCCTGTGTACAGCTGCACTCTGAATTTTATTCTCATTACTTATAAGTATGAATAATAAAATAAAAACTAATGGGATTTTTTTTCACAACACTGAGATTATTTTTCACATCTCTCTGTAAAAATGGACTTATGTGTTTAATGAAAGTCCAAAGACTATTTCAGTCATTTTCACCTCCCTTTACAATTCTTCCTGTCATCACAGGAAGTGGTTCAGCTGAACAGGATGCTCTTAACAGTAATGAGAGAAAATTTAGGAATAATAAAGATATAAATAGATGTCTTTGTGAGCTCTTGGGTGGAATTCCTCATCTCCTGACATCTTAAAGACTAAAAGTAATTACTGACAAGAAGAAAAAAAGACCTAAACGTATTCAATAATAAAATGAAATTTGTGCTAGGTCTTTATATTACCTGACCTCGGTTTAGTTAGGGGCATAATAAGTGACTAAGTGACACTCGAAGAATTCATTTTGGGTTTTGTTGCATTTTTGGATTGCATTATGTGAATTTCTCCTTTATCATGGCATAGTACTGTGTGGTTGTGTTCGTCATCTTTTTTTCATCACTGGGTTTCTTAAGATGCTGTTTGAGAGGCTTTAAATCTTTAACTCTATGTAGAAATGCTGGATGTACTGTTGGAACATGGTTGAAATGTTTAAATTTATTTTGGTATAAGACTGTATAT